CCGAGTTGACTTGTGGCCGAGTTGACTGCAGCCGAACTTTTTATGGCCGAGTTGATTTGTGGCCGAGTTGACTTGTGGCCGAGTTGACTGTGGCCGAGTTGACTTGTGGCCGAGTTGACCTGCACCCATCTTTGCCCCCGAAAGGGGCACAGACACAAAAAAATCGTGATAGCGCCCTCACGATTAAGCGAGATAGAGAGGGCCTCTGACGACGCATGCGCAAGCTGTACTTATCGGCTATAAAATAATTTGCGTTGTATAAAGAGAAAACGCGTTAAATTTGTTGAAGCGTCAGTCAAGTATATGGATTTAGAAATCCTATGACGTGTTTAAAACGCATTTTTTAATCCTCCAAATTCCCGAAAATATAGTTAAGTTGTCGATGATGCTTGTGTGTACAGATCCATTTGAGTAGAGAAGATAAATTTACTATTACGAACTGATAACTATTATTTTATGTAGATTATCAGTGCTTAAAATAAGGGCTTGCTAGACTAGGCTTAAGTTTTAAGGGATTTAACTAATGGGTCCTCCGGCTAAACGTGGATTTGACCGTCAAGCACGAGGTGGTATTTTTAGAGGCAGGCCACCTGCACGAGGACGGGGTGGATGGCGAGGACGAGGTAGGGGTCGGGGAGGAAGTTTTGATCGCCGTTCAAGGAGATCAAGGACTCGGAGCCCAAGTCCTAGACGATCTCGTGAACGTGCGAGTAGAACTCACCATAGCCGAAGCCCCTCTCGCCGTAGTAGTAGAGGAAGTTCTGAAAGAAGTTATGATGAAAAGCGGTCGAGTAGTAACAGGGTTAGGCATGATGATGATTCAAGCCATGGTCGTCGTAGCAAAAGTAGGGAATGTTCATTGCCTAGGCCTATGGCTATGCCTAGGTCTGTGTCGCCTCCGAAAGCATCAAGGCACCAAGTAGAGCAACCACTTCCAACAACAGATCCATACTATGGCGCTCCCTCCGGAAGCTTGGGACCAGGGTTTAGACCAATTAGTGAGCAACTGGGCCCAATCCCACCTGCAATTTCAGATTTACCACCAGGCCATAAAATGCAGCCTCAAGCCAATTCTTCTGGTTCTGTAATGAATGCTGCTGGTGGTGCTATGTATTCACTGCCTATGGTGATGAGTCACGAAGATCCAAGACTTATGCAGAAACCATTTCAGGTAATTTTAACTAGGACCAGCTTGGGCCCAGATTGTAAAATAAGGCCTGCCCAGGGAATACTGTATATCTTTCGCGCAAAAATTAGGCCAAGGAATCTGTTCGCACGTTTTCAGAAAATATGGGCTGATTTCCGTGCAGAAATAGGTTTTTACCTTTCTTTATATAATAGCCAATATATTTTACAGTGCTTATTCTGCACACATTTTTCTAGCAATTTTCTGCGCTAATTTCACCTGGTTTTTGATGTATCATCCGTGCACTTAAAATACATTACAGTATGGTCTAGTGCCTGTTGGAGGTAATATGAACATTTGTTATGTTTGTACTGTAGTGTACCTATCTAAGCTTGGGCTATATATATAATATTATTATTGATTTTCAAAAGCGATAATAGTAGTATTGTACACATACTTAACTATTATTACTATTAGGCCTATGTTTTCGTGCTGACTAAAATATTTAATTAATAGTTACTGAATTTCCATTTTATTTAGAATCTGTCCGTATTACTAGGGTCTAGCTGCTGTCTTCAGCAACATTCCGTTAATGCATTCTAAAATGAGGTGCTATAAAAATATCCCTCTACTACCAAATTTGCTCTTACAGTCTTATAATCAAAGATCACCACCACACGAACAAAATGTTTGTGCTTTTGGACGAAAAATACCCATCCGACTCAGTGGTTGGGATGTGGTTAAATGTGTTTATGGCACCCAGTTGTTACAGTTTGCGGAATATTGGTTTACAGCAGTGAATTTTTTATTCTTTTTAAAAATTATGCTATGAAAGCAACACTCTCTTGTGGGTTTGACAGCAAAACCATTTTCTACTGGAACGTGCTGTACGTTGATTCAGAAACTAATGCATGCTTATCATAAATTATGCATTAATAAATATTTTGTTTTTCAGACTCACAATACAAAACAAATTTTGATGTTGAAGTCCTCCCTAAGCCTTGGAATCAAGCCTTATAATATGGCCATGTAAAAAAAAATTATTTCTTGTCTCTGATCACTTCATTTTTCGCTGCCACATTTAAAACAGATTTTCTCATATTAGTTTGTCATATTCTTTTCCTTTGGCTTAGTTTTCAAACTAAGTTCAAACTCGGAACACGGAAGTCAGTGTTATTGTTGTTTGGACCAAATAAATGAAACGTTAAAAAACTGGCATTGTGACAACTGAAAGATCACAGAAACTAATTTAGTTTACATGGCCTATTAAATCAATAACCCTAGATATCTTCTGATAATTCTGAAGTTGTTGCAGTCATACTCTGTCCTGAACAGCTAAAAAGTACATCACTTGGATTATCTGATCAAGAAATATCCTTACTAGAGGCTATTTTAAAAAAAAACAGAAAGAGCATTTTTAAATGTGTTGCAAGATCCTCACAATGCAAAAATTGCTTATTATTATTGTGAGTTTCAGCAGTTGATTTGAACATATGACTGAATTTGTTGTGAACAAGGTAAAGTCAGATTGAAAAATTGTATCATACAGTAGCTAATTCATTGTTTTTTTTTAAATTTATATAATAAATTAATAATGTTTATATTTTGCTAACTTTAATCTTTGCATTCATCAATATTTAGAAAGAGTTTAAAGACACTGAATCACTAAGAATAACTGTGGATAATGATCATTATAAAAATGAGAAGCCATCTGCAATGCAGCGACTAGGACCACCTGTTGAAACCCATCAATACCAACAGAAAAGGTAATAGTGTACAGTATTAAACTTTTCAAATTCTGTTGAAGTTCGTTGTAAGAGTTTTTTGTAAGAATGAAAAAGCTTTATTTGTGCCAAACCAGTCACTTGTCGCAAAAATTGATTTTGAGTTATTAATACATTGTTAAATAGTAAAATAAAAGCTATAAAATGCTAAAAAAAATCATTCAAATCCGATATTTACTTAAGAAGTTACAAGCACTTAAAACATACATCTGTTTAAAGAACGATATATGAGAAATCAGCCTTCAAAGTATATGATTTCAGGCATTTCTCATGCAGTGTTGTTTTCACATTGAAAATGGGGAAAATAACAGCATAGCATGATGTATAAAGGTTGTTTTAGTGCAATAAAATAGATTTTTAAAAATTTGACATTCCAGCATGTTTTGGCCATTTTCTCTGAAACATGATTTGCGACGAGTGACTGGTTTGGCTTGTCTTTGCCATATTTGTACATGCCAACTAAAGATATTGTCTGCATGCTCACTTTGGCAAGTATACCGGAAAGACCCATGCATGGGGTGAGGAAACTGTAGCGTTCTATCAATATTAATCAACGTTCCCCAAACAATGGCACATCTCTCAAAAATGGGACGCCAAGAAATCACAGAGGGACACACAAAGATCAAGAATGGTGGGGAGACCAATAAATGAGCTAACCTTGTACAAGAAATTAGCCTCCTTTACAATGAAAAAAAAAAAAAGAAAAAAAAAAAAGAAAAGAAAGGTGTAGGGCAAAGACAAAATGCACAGACGGCACAGAACAAACAAAAAGCAGGCAAAGCTGTATAGAAAACAAAATTCGACAAGAATGAAAAAGAATAGCTTTAAAGTTATAAACCTGGTTCACGTCGAACTTTATCTAGATATACCCATCTTGAAACATGATACGATAATCCCCTAATTACGTTCGATGCCAAGTTAGAGCCAGATAAACAGCCAGCCAGTCTCAGGCCGTCGACGTCACACGGTGGAAAGGCTTGTTTAATAAAACATCTACTGTATTTTATGAACCTCTAGTACCAAGTGTAAACTATTGTAGAGAAGGTGTGAGTTTCCACTACCTAACCTAGCCGACCAGTACGAACCAACGACAGTGCAGCAGCGTGTTCTATCGCAATCTAAGTAGTAGATTCTCTAGGCCCTAGCTACATTTACCTTCGATAAAAAACGAATTATTTTAATCGCTAGCTAGCATTCTTCCATTTAACAAAATATTGTTTTAATTTTCATTAAAACGTATGTATACTTTATGGACCTTTCTGTCCTGTTTTGTAGTTTTTAGATCCATGAGGTTCCATCCTCCTTTACCAAAATTTGCCTCTTGCAACCAGGGTGTAGTGTCCTTGAGCTAATTACAAGCTCCACAGGATATCAGATAAGTGTTAAGTAATTAGATAAACCAGGGAACAGTATAAGCAGAATCAATTCTCAGGCAGACAGTAAACTGGAACTACTTTCACAATACTCCATGCTCACAAACACAAATGTTTAACAGAAATAATAAAATGCAACAATATCATCCGGTTTTTGTTATAATTTATTAGAAAAAAAAGGTGTTGTTAAACAGTTTTTTTCTACGGCTTCAAAAACTGCTTGGAAAGCCAAAACTTTGACTGAAACAGGCTACAGCAGACACTAAATTTCATGTACGTCGTCAAACCAAGGAAATTGGTGGTTCATAAAACAGATTTGTTTGTACAATAACTATTTATAATAGGCATGCAGTACGTACGAATTGTGTACAGTCGTCTTGTCTTTCTCGCCTAGTCGTTTCGTAGGCTAGACCTAGGTAGGAATGACACTAGGCCTAGTCAACAAAGGCCTACAACATCGCCAAATTGAAGCCACATGGACCGCGTAGATGCTTGACTAAATCTATTATTTGTCTTCATTTTACAGTATTATTGTCATATTTAAAATGTTGTTTATTATCTAAAAACAACATAATTGTAGGCCTAATCCTACCGTCCGTTTAAACGCAATCACGATCATATCGTGAGTCGTGACTTCACTACTAACAAGTACATGTGGGAAATCCCTGATTGATCATTCTGGGCATGCGCATGGACATGCATGGATATGTAAGTTCGAGCGTTCGGAAAAATCGTAGTTAATACTATAGGCCTAGGTAGTGAAAAATTGCCGAAGCTGCCGACCTCTGGGAATTTAAGGTCGGCAAATTTTTGCCGACCTAATTTTTTTCATCTCTCAGTATTGTCAACCACTGTTTACAAATTTACAACATATGACGACACGATCAAACCAAGTGCTCTTTTATTATTTACTGCTGAAGTTTTTCTGTCATTACGCTGGCAAAATAGTTCCCAATTACCGTTGTATTATTTTTATTTACAACAAACAATTATATATTAAACGATTCGTACATTTAAAGTAGTTTCTAAATATTTTACACCCTAATTTTCATCAATAAAAATATTACTAATAAATGGATTCAAACTAAATCACGTTCAAACCAATATATTCATCCGCCTTTTTCAGAAACTTCATGTCGTCGTACGACGGCGCCTGTACCAAGTCAGCCTAGGCTAGGCCCAGTAATAGCCCTGTACTTTTGTAACTTCTCGTAAAAGGGCTCGTTTTTTACGATTCGAACTCGTAGGTAGGACAGTTTTTTCTGCTAAAGACAAATGTTAATATATTTCATACGATTTTCAACAAAATAGATTTTTTTTCTTTTTATAGTAAACTCAGTATGAATTGATTGTTATTGCTATGGCAGCACCCCTCTGAGATAATGACTTTTCCAGCCGCGATAGCCCTTCATGTACCGCGGTCTAACCTTCCTGATAATTAGAGTATTATTAGCTATGATAAGAGACCCTAGTTTGATTTCCCGAGTTTTCGTGGGTAAGTCGGCTTTTGTGGTAAAGGAGGATGGAACAGCATGCAATTGTGTTGTTTACGTGCACTTCGCGAAAATCTAGCTTTGCGGTGTCAAGTAAGTTGCTGAGCTGACTTCCACACACTTTTATTCGTCATCGTAAACATGTGCGCTCATTTTAGCGACTGGGGTTGGTGGTAGTTCGTTGAAATTTAATTAATAGCGACTATTATAGCAGAAATGGAAAAGATGTTTCTGTATGTGGGCCTGTTAAAACTTTTTAAAAATCCTTAAAAACTAATAAGATGATTAATTATTAAAATATAGGAGGTTGGACTGCTGCTGCTACACTTCTACTACTAATACTATGTACAGCACAGTGCTTGTTTCATGGTCACAGCAAATTTTCTTGTTTAGGCCTATGTCTGCAACCAGGTATATAATGTATAGGACATAATATGGATGGGAATTTCTCGCTTGTTTCCTGCGTAGGTAGATGTTTTGAGTTTTAAAAATGTTTGAATGCTTTCCAGACTGTCGTATCCATGCTGTATCCTGATTATAAATTATAATATTAAATACAGTATTTACCGTATGTTCTTCCGCGGAGGTATAGATAGGTCTGTACAATTTCTAATTCGTCCATATAGGCCAACATCATTGTAAATTACTAGGCCTAGGCGTAGTAGTAGAGTAGTACAGTAGTTCTAGGAGAATTAATTAGGCCTACTGTAGGCCTATAGCAAGTCAGTTTGGACGATGTACGTTATAAAATAAAGCTTGATGATGATGATGTACATTAGTTTGTATGTGACGTACTCTGTAATAAACCATGTGTTGTGAATGCGTTTGGACGGGGTAACAATTCACACTCAGTCAGGCATGATCGTGAGAGGAGCAAAAGCCAAACGGAATATACGCATCTAGACGGTAGGCTTCATAAACAGTCCCAAACTGTACACTATCAGAATACAATAGAATTTACGTCAAAACGAGTCTCTCATTTTTGAATAATTTGTCGATCACGTCTAAGGATGGATGATAGACATTTTTAGGGTGGATGGGCGATAACATTGGTAAACTCTAGATAATAAGAGTGGATTTTAAGGAGGGCAGGCCATGAAATTTGGAAAAAATTAGGTTGGCAAAAATTTGCCAACCTTAAATTCTCTGAGGTCGGCAGTCTCGGCAATTCTTTACTACCTAGGCCATAGTATAATCTACAATTTTTCCACACGCTTGACTTTACATCGTCATCTACAGACTTACAGATCATGATTTGTTAATTATCTCTATTAAATCAATATATAGTTGGTGAAAGAATAATAATAATAATAATAATAATAATAATAATAATAATAATAATAATAATAATAATAATAAAAACTATATTTAACTACGGAAACACTTGTTTAACATAATAGTGTTTTTTAACAAGGCCGTATAGGCATTGTGCAACTCAACAAAACGGAAGTTAAAACAAAATGGTAGTTGTACAGTTCCTTGTAATAATTTAAATGTGTAGTATAAGTGTTACATAAGAAAATCACTGAAGAAATGTTGTTTTCATGTTATCTTTAGCATTGGAAATATCAGTTTCTTAAAAGCTATGATTGTATCAACACAGGCTGTCTGTGCTCAAAAACTGCCCATGCATGTCCATGCGCTTGCCCAGAATGATCTATCTGGGAGTTTCCACACATGTACAGTACTTGACAGTATCAACGTCGTGTTTGTGTTTAGGTGGATTGTAGGATTAGGCCTACAATATGTTTAATTTAGTTGTTTTTAGATAATAAAAAACATTTTAAATATGATGATAATGCTGTACAATAAAGACAAATAATAGATTTAGATAAGCATTACAATATACGCAGCACACGCGTCTTCAATTAGACGATGTTTTAGGCCTTGACTGGTTAGCGTCACTCCTACCTAGCCTAAGAAACAACTAGGCCTAGCTAGGCGAGAAGGGCAATTACACACCGTGCGTATGCCTATTAAAAATAATTATTGTACAAACAAATCTGTCTACGAACAACCAATTTCCTTGGTTTGACGATATATGTTAAATTTAGTTTCTGCTATTGCCTGTTTCAGTCCAAGTTATGACTTTCCAAGAAATTTTTGAAGTAAAGAAATGTAGGCCTGGTCAGCAAAAAGTTCCATCTTTTCTGGCTCAGCAATATGGTTGCCGATTGCCGACGTGAAATTCATGGGCAACCATTCTTTCACCAAAAATATATTGATTTAATAGAGATAATTAACAAAATCACGATCTGTAGATTACGATGTAAAGTCGAGCATCTGGAAAAATCGTAGTTTATACTATAGGCCTGGTGGTAAAAAATTGCTGAGACTGCGAACCTCGAAGAATTTAAGGTCGGCAAATTTTTGCAGACCTAATTAATTTTTTCCAAATTTCATGGGCTGAATAAACGCTAGAGTACACCAATTTGTACGACTATAGACGTCCCTGGCGCCCTCAGCAACACCCTGTGGAATAAGTATACTCGTCGCTGGCAGCAAGCGTGTTAACAAGATGATGAAAATATATATATTTTTTTTTTTATCAGTAATATAAAATAAAGTTTTAATTTCTTTTCCTCTGTTAATACATATCGGCAAAATCACTCTAAAACAAATGTTGTATTGGGCTGTATTAAACAATTAAAAATGAGTTTATTAGTTACTATATTGCTATTGTTTTACAGTTATGAATTTCCAAGTCGTGAAGAGTCCCACCTTGTTAGCCAGATGGACAAATATGATTCAAGAAGAGGAGGAAACAAATATAATGGTGAAAAGCAGAATAAGAAATTTGATGATTACAATAGAAATAGAAGTCAAAGTATCAGCAGCAGAAGCAGCAGGAGTAGTAGTAGGAGTACTAGCAGTAGTACTAGTAGGAGCAGCAGTAGCAGCAGCAGCAGATCATCTTCTCCTGTTAGAGGTCGTAGTAGAGCCAAGAAGCTTACAACAAAAGACGGACATTTGGACAACAGACAAACTATGAAAAACCATGAATATTTAGAACATGTGGAAAAGAGAAGTCATCCTGAAGAAATGAATGATCCCAGACTAAGATCTTCAGGTCTTGTGGAGATGCCGTCTCATAAGGAACTTGATAGCAGAGATCCTCGTAAGGAACTTGATAGCAGGGATCCTCGTAAATCCTCTAATTCTAGTATGCTAAAAATACATAAGGGGAGTGGTTCGGATGAGAGTAACAATTCTGTACAGAAACTTTTGAATGACCTCACAAAGATGGGATATTCAACTTTGAATGCAAACCAAGTCTCAAATGTCAAAGAAGAGACAAAGACATTGACTGAGACACTCAAAGCTGCGGCAGGTTTAGCTGTACCTAGTGCTAAGCCTGCTAAGTCAATCTTAAAGCGCACAACAAATCCCACTCCTATATTGAGCCAACAAGAACCCGACAAACAAATCAAATCCATCCTAAAGAATAAACCAACACCCACATCACAAGATCCTGGGTCATCTGCATATTCAAATATCTTCTCTAGAAATCTTGAAGGGTCTTTGCCTGGCCTTGATTTGTTGGATGACAATGCTGAAGGGAAAGTAAAAACAAATACTGGGAGGTTTGGGTTCCCGTCAATTGATGATGAGGAAGAGTTCCTGTACGGTGAGGATGAACCAAAAAATGAAGAATATAAACTAGAAAATGAACAATATAAACCAGAAGAAACTTACACCACTAAAGAGTTGGTAACTTCAAGTTATCAGTCAGTCACTAAGGAGAATGATGAAAAGTATGTGCCTCAATCAACATCATCAAATGTAGATTTAAAAAGACAGGAATCACAGGTAACTAACCAGCCTGATTTTCAGAATACTCAAGTACAGAGAATATTGTCTGCCATTGGATTTGATTTTGACCTTGCCAAAAAGATCCAACAGCAAAAAGGAAGTGAAGAAACTTCATCAACAACTAAGGAAGAAACACGTGGCGAGTCCGGTTACCTGAAAGCAGATGAGGTTAAACCTGGTAATCAACCAGCAGAAAGTAGTAAAGATGTACAGCTTGGTATGTTTGATCAGTCAGCCTCATTTTTAAGCTCGGGTTTTGAAGGAGACCTTGATACATTGATGAAAGCAGATGTGCCTGATAAAATGCAAAAAGCAAATGACAAGCAGACATTCAAAGCAGAAGACGGTAATGATGAGAGTTTTTCCGGTGTTCCTACAACAGCTCCAAATTTCAATTACTCAAATTATAGGCATCCAACACCTGTCCAGTATGGTAACTACCCTCCATTTAACCCTCAAAATCCACCCTTTGATTATAGGTATCCTCCAGTTTTGGGTCATGGATTTCCACCAGGTGAGGTACAACATGTGGCACATGGACTACCCCAACCACCTCCTGGACATCCCCCTCAATTCAATGCTAACCCATGGCAGCAACAATTTCCCTACAATCATTATCCACCTAATTATGGTTATCAACAGCAGCACACATATGGAGGTGGGCCACCTCACCTGGAGGGTACTGGAAATACCATGGACATATTTGAGCAGCCAGAGAAATCACGTAGTAGGCCTCATGATAAGTCAAGGAAGCATAAACGCAAGTCAAAGCGTCAAAGAGCAAGCAGTGATGAAGATGATAGAGATCACAGGAAACGTCAGAAATATATAAGTGATAATTCTGGATCTGAAGAAGAAAGGAAGACAATGTCAAAGAAGCCTAATGAACGTTCATTTGGTGACATTGAGAAGGAAACAAATCGCAGACTTGGACTTGTCACAGAGAGGCCAGCTGTTGTAAGCACTGAATACCTTTCTTCTGAAGATGAACAGGAACCTTTAAATGAAACCAGAGAAAGTGCTGACACAGATTGGTCAGAGAAAGCAAAGAATATTGAACTAAATGAAGATGAGGAGCGTTATGCAAAAAAACAGGCTGTCATGGAAGTGAAAGAGAAGTTTCAAGAAATTGCAAAACACCGCCAAGTTACCAGAAAAGAGCTGGAGGACGAGATAGATAAAAAGACTCAAGAGATTTTGAAACGAAAAAAAGAATCAAATGCAAAAAAAGAGATAATGGAAAGGAAGAAGCGAATACAAAGTGAGAAAGAAATCTATCTTCGTCGCATGGATATGCTGGAAGAAGAACTTTGTAGATTACGTAAGCAGCAATCATATTTAATGCGGAAGCGGCAGCATCACAAAGATAATAAGGATCCCGTTTTAATGGAAAATACTATGCTTCAAGATGCAATTGCTAATCAGATTCATCAACTTAGGAGAGACTACACAGAGAAAAAGAATAAAAAAAAGAATGATGCTAAAGAATTTGAGAAACAAGACACTAAGAAAAGCTGTGAAAGGGAATCTAGAAGTTTTTCAGAATCACCAGACCGAGAATCCTCTTCTAAGTGGAAAAGATTGCCAAGTACTGAGCAAGGTGATCCTGACAGGAAGCATGCAGTTCGTGGTCGCCACGAAAGAAATAGTCTTTCACCACAGAAACAAGATATTGTAGCAAAAGGTGATAGAAGCAGGGATACTAAAGATAATCGTCAATCAAACAGAGACTCTCCTCAACATGTAAGGCAAAGATTCTCTCCGAAACGAAGAGACAGTAGAGAAGAATGGCGAAGAAATAAAAGTGTAAGTTTGAACTTTCTTTCATTATTGTTTCATAAGGTTGTTTTAGACCTCTAAGCACTTCACATTATTACCGTCGGTCATTGGATTAAACACATATGGAACACATACTCAGCTCCTTGAGTGAGAATTCCATAATGTAGGTAGTAATATTATATTACTTTTGAAATCCTGATAGTTGTTATTAGTATTTGATTAGGATTGAGGTTCAGGTAGTTATTTCAAAGTTCCACTTCTTTGGAATTTAACACAAAAAAATTAACTCACTGAAATGGTGTTGTATGTACATTGGTAGCATTCCCACTTTAAATAGTGTCATTGTAGTATTTTTATTTTCAATTAAGTACTAGGTAAATGATTTGCATTGACAGACAAATCTGCAGCAAGTATATTTACATTATAAGAATTCAACAACAAATATTAACAACTGTCTCATACAATTACAGAATTATTTTTGTTCACATACTGTATATAGTGTAGTTGGCAGAATCAATTTATCCTTTTCAAACAATTTCTTAAGCTTGCTTGTTAATCTATAAATGATTGTAATACAGTACAAGTGCTACATTAAATTACGTTTTATACTTGTTCATACCTAGGCTACTAGAGTATGTTTAACTCATTAATACCTTAAATTCATAACTAATTTTTTCTCTAATCAAGGTGTCAAGTCGGGAAAAGAACCTTGTTGAAGACAAGAGGTACGACAGCAAAAGAAGCAAACAATCAGATGAAGAAAGTAGTAAGCGAAGCAAGCCAAAGGAAAAGTTTCAGTTTGAATTTTCTTATTTTGATCCTGGGTTTCACTTTTGCAAGGTATGCAAAATGTCACTGGCCAGATTGAATGAAGTGTTTATTCATCTTCATTCAAAGAAACACCTACAGGTAAGAATAGTTGCTTATACAATTAACTTTATAAGTTGTAAACATACAAATTTATTGCTGTAGCTACTTATACTGGTTAATCTAAAGTGCATGTCTTGAAGATTAAGTGGGTAACTTGTATGTTTATTAATTACTCTGTCAAGTATTATTATTTATCTGTTTGCTTTCATAGTTTTAATTTTCTCTGTTATCCATGATTAGTCCTATAAATGTTTATTATGCATGTTTATGTGTGCTGCCCTGACTCTGTGTGCATTGTTTTGTTTGTATCATTGCATATGAACTTCTTTTAATATATTTGTTTGTTTACCATATATCAATATGTTTACTTCCTTGAATATTTTACCTTCCATATTATCGTCTATATGTATATATTTTTTTTTAATGTTTCTTTTTAAAGGGTATATTTTACAAGCTTTAATACACAAAATATTTAATCAATTTCAGTATTTCCTCCAAAGCCGTGCTATAATCTGTATGTGCAATCATGCTGATCTACCAAAGTGACCCTTATAAATGCCCACAATATGTTCTCTAAACCCTAATTTTATTATTTTTTTTTTAAATTTTTATTTTATTCAATTTCCAGGAAAAAAAAAAATTACATAAAAGTACCTTAGCTCCTGAAGGTGACCAAAAGTAAACAATTAAAAAAACTGTCAAGTGGCGTTCCCAACTAAAAGTACATAAAAGAAATCAGGGATATCCTAAAATTAAATGCTATTGATAACAAGCTTTAGAGCTCTTTTAAACCCTCCAAAATTGTACAAAGCTTTATCACGAATATAACGAGGAATAAGTTTCCAAATTCGTGGATAGTTCACAAACAAGGAATATTTAAATGCATTAGTTCTACTATACTTGTGTTTAAAGGTGAGAGTTTATGGATATCGGGCATTAATGACAAGAAAGTGGGTTTTAAGGCAATTTAGCACATTTTCATGTTTTTACAAATCATGCTACTAATTTAATCAATTGTGTCCCTGCCTAGATGCACTCATTAATAGCATGTTTTGTTTGGCCACCTGCAAATTTCATTAGGAGGGGTTGTGTCTGTTTTGGATTGTTGTGTGATGGCTAGCTGCTGTGTATGTACATTGAATAAACTGCATAAGAAATTTATAAAGATGACTTTGTGATATTTGAGAATGTAGGTAAGTATTGGGGCCATTTTTACCTACCTGTCATATGGGGCCATTTTTACCAGGGCCATTTTTTCCGGGGCCATTATTTCCGGGGCCATTTTTTCCGGGGCCATTTTTTCCGGGGCCATTCTTACCGTACACCGATATTTGATACCATTCTAGGTAGGCCTACCATGCCAACTCGGGTCACGATTACCTGTGGTAATGTTTGCTAGTCACTGAGGGTTCATCTTACAGTTTGCCCTACCGGGAAGGCGTGCAAACTTTCTAACAAAGAGTCCAACAGCATGATCATGCAAACAATTTTCAGGATAAATTACTGTATTTGGACCCTACGTAAATACAGTACAACCATGTTTAAGCCACTCAAATTTTACAGCATGCACAAACTACAATTTTGTATGTACAGAACTGACAACATAATTTTATTAATTTTTAAAATGTTAGTCTATTGGAGAGTGATATTTGATGTTTGATGGTAACTCCTCGGAGCCAAAGGCCAAACCATGCTTAGTTTAAGGAGTAGGATTAGTTATTAAGTATCATTACATTTGTATTCTTATTTATGTTAAGCGCATAGAGGTCTATGATATGCGCTCTATAAGTCGACCATTATTATTAAGATACTCCTTGCAGCTAATTGAGAGATCAGTATGTGATGTTGTAATACAATTAAGGCTGATAGGAAAACATTAACATTCTAATGATGGTACTGTATGGGCTTTTGATATTGAATATTTTTGCATCTTTATCCTCAGTTTTTTTGCAAGTTGCATGGAATAAATTCCTGAATGAGGAGCCCTCCGACTTACTTTAATTATGGAATGAAGTCAAATACTGTAGCTTGGTAGTAACGGTACTTGCCATCACAGGGTCCTGGGTTCAACTCCTGTCACAGTAATAATATTTTTTCTCACAACCAAAAACAACTATACTCCCTAAACCCACTAATGTGACTTGTCTATGTAGAGCATCTTGTGTGTATGCTTGTATTTTTAAAGGAATTGGGGAGTGAAAAGTTCTCTACAGTAGTATCCTTTGATACTTGCACATAAAATACGTAATGAAATAATAAAAATTGTACCAAAAAAGTACTATATTTTTTCAAATGATTTCATTACTTGATGTTACATTCACTTGATTTTCTAAATGCTAATATTTGTTTTCAGAGATGTGACCCATTTGATCGGCCCTGGCTATCAGATATGACTACAAATGCCAGGCCACCACCATCATCAAAGACTGTTGCTGCTCCTCTGAAAGGTATGCATTATTCCAGAATTTATTAATGGTGACTAACATTTGAATTGCTCGCAATGTACATATATTTTGATAGCTTATATACAATTATATTAAAATTTAATTTCTACAGGACCCATCAAAAGCTATCCATTTAAAAGATTTTATATTGTTTGAGAAATTAATAGAAATTGAAGAAAATGAAAACAAAATACTTGAATGTATACACATAGGAAAACTTTTATATTTCAATGTGTGTTAGTATATTGAAAATACTATATGTTTATTCATTCTTAATTCATTTTGACGTATTCTCTAAAATTTTTCCCATTTGCCAAAATGTTTTGTTGTACACAGTAGCAACTAAGGTACACTGCCATAAAACCCCTAATATTATTACAAAATCTTTCACAATCAGGTGTTGACTTCATGATGCCAGTTAATGGATTTTACTGCAAACTCTGCAAGCAATTCTTTGGTGATGCAGCTTGTTCAGCAGAGCACTTGAAAAGTGTTGAACATAACAAAGCCTATCAGGTTTGTTGGATTACTGTACTTGGGTTTAGTGAAGAGCAATACATCATTATATGGAACAGTGTAATGGAAGTGTTTACAATAATTTGGTGAAAGCATTTCCTATTAAATATAATATGGTAACTTAATAAGTCTCTAAAACTATAGTACACAATTTCTATAACAGTAATGTACTGAACTGCATTAGTAAAATACTGTAGAACTTTAAATTAAGATTGTTACAACTATTTATTCATTTATGTAATTTGACATCATTGTTAATGATTTTTTTTTTTTCAGAAATACATTGATGAGAATCCTTCTTATGAAAAGGAGCTTGAGCTGATGAGGGCTGCTGCTCTGGGTAAACAAGATGAAAAAGTGGACCAAGCCAGTATCAAAGTGACAAAAAAGGACGGTGGATTTGGCAAATTTGCCTTTAAGAATGAAGACAATGTAAAAGAAGTAAAACAAGAGCATACCAATGAGGAATGTACCACTGGCTCTCCTATATATGAGGGACCTAAACTTCCACCAGAACTAGAGCTTCGTAAATCTGTAGATATTTTCCAAGGCGATAGTAAATCTCAGAAACCCCAGATACCATATACTGCAGGGAAGAAACCAGAAAGGTATGGAGAAAGAAGTAAAGAACTCTATCTGCCAGGTGAGGGAGACATTGCTGCTGCCTTTAGTGGAAAGCCAGTTTCACAAACAGAACAATCTAACAAACAAGAACCTGCAACCTGTGAATCAGTTCCTACTAAATCATCAGGTGAAGTTGATTCTGCTGTGACAACAACTGCACCTTCAGCTTCAAACATTCCAAAACCAGCATTCATTGGAAGGATGCCTGGTCGTAAAAGTGTTAGTAGAGGTCGTGTCAGGGCTAAAGCAGAGACAAAAAATTTAGTTGAGATACCTGCTTCTGCAAATGAAAAGAATAAGAGGGAGGCTCAGCAGATGGCTCACATAGCAAAGGAAATGCAGGCTCACATGGCTAGGGCACAATTAGCAGCCAAACAACAACTAGAGAAGGTGCAAAAAGAAGAAGCCCTTGCTAAGTCATTAAAAGTTGCTAAGAAAAAGGCTTTGTTGGATGCTACAAAATTTGATTCTAATCAGGAAGAGAAGAACAAACCTCTAGCTGTTGAACCTCCACCACAGAAATCAGTGGTTACCACAAAAGCAAGTAAACCACCTTCTGCTAGTGGTCAATCGTCCCAGATTGAATCGAAACCCAGTGAGCAAGCACAAGGTCTTGCTCCTCCAGGTATGTCTCCACCTATTAGTCCAGCTCCTAATGTTCCTGAAGAGGATCTTTATTCAATTGATGACATGTTCATGGAGGATGGCACTGAAATCCCAGGAATGGATGTCTCAGTATCAACATCATCTCTAGGGATTAAGGTTAAACCCCCACCACCAGTCAGTAAGGCGGTGAGTCAAACATCTGCTGGTCCAAAGACAACTCTGACAACATCATCAAAGGAAAGTATCTATGGCCTGTTTTTCAGTGGGAAGTGATCATGACTCTAAAAGTAAGTTAACTCATATTAAACAAATATTTTTTTATTTCAGATTTATGTAAAATAGATTGTATTTAAGGCAAGACCTTTTTTATTCCTTGTTTCGGGTACTTATTTTTTTTCAAATATCATCTGAAGAGGGCGAGGTAAAAATAACATTTTGTTTTCTTATTCAGCAAATAGGTTTGCCAAAAACATCCAGACAGTAGAGAAAATAAAAGTAGATTTTATTGGTGATTGTAAAATAGGATATTAAATGCTTCAAATTTATGTAATTAGGAGGGAATTTACATATCTTATGTTTTGAGATTTCAAGGCAGCAGAGGGCGTAATAAAAACACAGAAAGACTTTAATTTTTTTCTAAAATTTTCATCAATATTTGCAGTTGGCGGGTTCGCTAAACAAGGTGTAAATAAAGTCTCGCCTAGGTATATCATAGTGAAAGACAAACTCACTACAATGGGTGAAGCTCAAACAATATTTGCCAATTTTTACCAGCATATGTGGCATAGTCAAGCCAATTCGGATTTTGAGATAATACATTATTATTTTTCAGTAAAGGTGTTCTCTTTATAATGGTGAATAATGTTTACAATCCAACTTTTCGTTATGAAGTTTTAGAAGTTTAAAGATACCTACGTTTGGCAGAAACCTTAAACACGTTTCGAGAAATACAAATTTAAAGTTTAATGACGCGCTAAGACGCTGACAGTGCAGATACGTTCTTTGTTCCATGGGCATAGCTGAATACCCAACCTAACGAAGACAATAGAAACCTTCAAGTACCAGCCTCAATTTTGCAGTTGCATATACAAAACTCATATTGTACCATTAGCTACAGTACATACAAATTTTTTAAAAGAAACATAAAATATTGTCCCTGGTCAAGGGAAGCATTCATTCTTTCAAATATTTTATTGACAAGCAATTGCTAAACAGTTCTAAAACTATATATCCTTCACATTTCTAGATTAAGTTCTGACTGGATTTTCCACTGAGCAATAATGATGTGATGCTATTTGATGATTAACATAGACTTGATTGTCTACTCTGCTATATGTTTATTGGTTTTATTCGGCTGATTTTAGAGTACAGTACTATCAATGAATACAAATACTTTTGATTCTGAGTTGACTCTACTGTACTTAATGCTTAGTATTTTGCAATCTATATCAACATCTACACTAAAATTAACTATTGATGACAATCTGGTTTACAAACAAGTTTTACAAAAGACAAAATTTCAATTGGGGTCTGGGCAGGTCTGGATTACAACAAATGTGAAAGGTTATAACTGTGTGGGCCTGGAATTATAATTGAGCAAAACCTAGTGTTTGCTATTCTAGGTAGTATAACTGTCTCTTATACACATCTAGATGTGTATAAGAGACAGCCATAGTACTGAAGGTGGCTTGTGCTGTTTCTTTTGTTGGTTGGTGTTTAGTGGAAAAGTCAAACTAGGATGCATGACAAAATCGTCATCCAGGAATCAGGTTAATTTTTATAAGGCTATATTTTTTTTTGGACATAAATTGGACTGAATCATTTCTGCAAAATTGTCAATATTATCAAGAAGTTAGTCCTTTGTATAATCATAGAGCTATAATATGTATGGTAATTTTACAGTCATTTTTTTCTTTTCAATGAATGTTTTGAATGTATCAATCATTTCTCAATCATTTCAAATGCTTAAACTTTAAATGCCGCACCAAATTTATAACGCTGTACTACACAGTAATGTATTCTGTCTGTTGCTTACTTTACTACGTGTACAGTACTGTTTAGTTCTGTATATGGTCGTGTCATTGAAATTTCATATAATTTCAGTGGTGTTTTTTTTTTTGCATTTATTCCTGCTAACTGTGAGGTGAATATTAAATTCAATTGTCATGTAAGTAATGGCATAATTTTATACTTAACGGGGACTGAAGATGCAAGGTACCAAGCTCACATTATTCCAAATACTGTATAAGGAAATCATTGAGAGATGCTCCAACGTCAGTTAGCCTCTTAAATTACAGATGCCAGCAGTTACCTTTAGATCGTGCATGCAGGTATTACCACCAGTCGTCATGTGAGTATTTGGTTAACTCGTTTCAATTAACTTCCCGTATAGATACTGTATGTTTGAAATATTGTAAAAATGCTTTGGTGAAGGTCACATAAAATTAAATGAAAGTAAATGCAATTCACGGTATCCAAATTGTTTGTTTTTTCGTGTGTGTGTTGTGTTTAATACTCATTGAATAAAAGTCGTTATATTTATATTTCTCCCCCCCCCCATATTTTAACAGTTTTATTTCAATCAAGTTTGATGTCAATAATAGGAGGTGCACTGTCTATTATGAGCTAAAAATAGAATCAATATTCAATTCCGTATTTGAACTGCCAAATTTGTATATATTTATTATTTGAGTTGTAACAATAGCTAAAAATATGAATGATGTACAATGTCCTCGTAAGTTAAATAATACCTTTTTCTGTTTTTGGTTGGAAGTTTGATTATTTAAAATGAACTATTCAAAGATCTTGATATTTTTTTGCCATTTTTTTTTTTTTTTTTTGGCAGACAGTGCATCTTTAAATATTATATAAAATACCTACCATTAGTCGCCATGCAACGCTACTGTAATTGGATTTGTTGTTACTGTATGCGACATGTTCACAGGTAATAGACTAGTTGTCAATCAATCAATTTACTCAAAGGTGGTGCATCCAAATTGATAAAACAAACTGACAAAATATACAGACTTTAATCAAGGCATACAAGAACACAATTTTGAAATAGAAAATGTTATAACAATACCAATGAAACTTAAACTAGTATATAAAAAAATATTTTAAACAACTATACCTATTAAATTTAATAGAATTTGAACCCAGCAACCCTTACCAAAGAGTTGTGCATCTAGCAATTTATTAAAATTAAATGTTTTTGTTACCGGACTATTGCATGACTAAATTTCAATCGTTTGCCAGGTGTTTCAATCGCAGCAAAATAGAACATGAGGAACTGAGAGCAATTACATTTCTTTAGTTTCTTTTGACTACAAGAATGCTTGCGTCACCTCAAATGTTGTGCCTCACAGTGGCCGACCTTGTTAGGCAATGGTCATTTGATGTCGGTTTAGTCATCATAAGCTTAGCTTAACCTGTATAAGAAAACGGACATTACAATGATAATAACAAGACAGCATGAAGAGGAAAACTGCAATAAAAAATATGTAGGCCTATATACAAACATTGACACTGATTACCAAAAGGCAACTTGCCTGCCAATGGCAGGGTCAATGGTGATCCCATTGACTTTAGAAAGTTTAGAAGTATAGTCCTCAGGAAATTGTAAGGGCTAAATAAATTTATATTGAAAGTCCAAGATAAATTCAAGAAGTTCTGAGGGCCTTTATATCTTTGGCCAGTGGGTATTCCTTTATCTAATTGTACTGGGATTGCCAACGCAGTTAATGTATGATTTACCATGAATTTGCTATTCTCTCAGCATTAGATTGATGAAAACTACCTAAATTTCTTCCCTCTTCAATGTGTAAAATAATATGTACCCCAGGTACAGCCATAGCAAGTTGTTCATAATAAGTTAAAACAAAAAGAGGTTGTCTTTTTTTTTTTATAATTTGAGGTCTTTTTTTAATCGATTTTTGAAGATCCAATATGCAGAGTATTTAATGGATTTCAGTGGTGAACCAGGAACTTGCCATGGTGGGGCTGAGTTAAGAAGGTTTATGATGGAAGTTTTTGGAAAATAAACTGAAACTGAAAATGGACAAAAATGGCACGCTCAGACTTAAATATAACTTTATTTTTTTCTCTCCATTTTAAAAAATAATTTGATAAATTTAGGGGTGGGGGCAGCCACTGCCAGTAGGACTTGTGCAGGACACATACATTAGGGAAAATGTCATCATATTCCTTCATTGCTACTGCTGTGGATGGACGTGGGTTAGAGAATTCACAGCTTCATTGACAATCGCACAAGATAATCAGACGTCAAGTGTGGTCCGAGAGAGCTCACATTAGTAGGGGCTGGCCAGAACAGTTTTGAAGAATCATATCCAAAAGACCGAAATTTGTAATTTCAGTTTTAAAGTTCTTTTAATACACACATGTTAGTTTTTATATTTTATAATTTCGATATTTTTTTTTATTGATCACTCAGCATGGGGTCCAGAGTCCACCCATCGCTTTCTTTTTCATACGACTGAAATAAAAAGGGACTTTTCGTTGATCAGCTATGCTTGATACGATTATTACATGTTCCTATTTCAGCACTGTTATTATTATTTATCTATTCGTTTATAGTGTGCCACGGTGCTACGCAACAAACTTTATTTGAATATTATTTACTATGATTTCCCAGCTGCTGCTATTCCAAAGCTTAACCATAGCTCCACTATGTGTGAGCGTTTCATTCAGTTGTATGAGAGAAAGTGTCTGGGGATTAGAACTGCACGTAATTCCTACAAGTCTCTGTGGGCTGATGGATATAATACTCGCATTGACAGCGAGAGGTTGCAGGCTCGAACATCGCCAGAGACACTTTATTCATACAACTGAGTTGAGTTGTAATAATCTATCAGGTTATGCCTGATAGATTATTACAACTCAATGATCCTATTCAATTGAGCACTGTTTAATATTATTTATCTATTTGTTTATATTGTGTCACGGTGCTACGGAGCAAACTTGATT